TCCATCATTATCCAAGTATCATTTATTCCGTTAACATGACAAATGTATGTCTCTTTTTGTTTCCAAACATCAAATTTATCTATACTTTGATCCTTTCTAATTGAACCATTCTCTTCAATTATTCTCAATTGACCAATTCTTTTTGCACTTTTCTCATCAAACTCAGCAACTGCACCAGTAATTCCTAATTTAACTATTTGAGCAACTGATGAAAATGGTAATATCATCTTTTTCATTGTTCCTTCAAAATTATTGTCACTCTGTTTATTAACAATTTGATACCCCCTTGCTCCTTGTTTGATTCCTTCAATAAAAGACTCTGGTCGATGACCATGAGTAGTAATATCATCACCAAATGCTTGAGAAATTGTTCCTATTGTAACAGTAATTGATGATATCACTCCAAGTGTTCCAGCAGATGTTTTGTTCATAGCATCAGTAAACAAATGTGATTTCAAAGCAGAAGATAAAGAAGATGAGAGAAAATAAGGATTTCCAATTAAAGTATAAGAAACAAGAACTTTTGGTAATTGTTTTAAAATAGGAGTTGTGTAATAAGATAAAACCTCTGAAGAAAATCCAATGAATGGAGGAAGGGTAAATGTAGTGTGTTTAAAGTTAATTAAAAATGATGAAAGAGTAGATTATAAAGAAGAGATATATGATATTGGAAGAGAGACATTTGGTAACAGTGTAAAAGAAAAGTCAATATGAGTTTGAGTAATAGAAAGATAAAACAAAGGTAATGAAGATATTTTTGAATGAGATAAGGTTGGAATAAATTCAATACATTTCTTTAGAAATAATGAGTCTAATTGAATTAGAATGTCATCTAATGGTAATGAAATATCATTTCTTGATAATGAAGTAAGAAAATTAGGAATTTTACAAAGTACAGTACTGAGGAAGGAGGATATGATTTTATTTGAATGAGAGATGATTTTAATAGAATAATTTTTGTATATTTGATTTGAATATTTTCGATGATAACTTGAGTTAAAGGAGTATATTTATTAAATAAGTCAATATAAATTTTAGGAATATCTATATTGATAATAGGATTAGTTTTATTTTGTTTTTCACTAATAATAAGTTAATGATGAGGAGAGTGTTTTATAATTATACAACATTTTCCTATTTGTTGTTTGATAATATTTTTTAAATGAAATATCTATAGGTTGGTCACTGAGGAGAGGAGAAAATATTTTAATATAATCTAGTGTTTGGCTTAAATGTTGATGAATGGCATATGAACAACTTTGAAGAATAGTAATAGGAATAAACTTTCCTTGATATTCCCAGAACCAACTACATTACTTATGAGTTAAATTAGTTATGAAATAATCTCCTATTTCATTTTCTTTTATAACAAATTATTTTTGTTCCATTTAAATTGAACTATTATTGAATTAAGATAATCTTCATTCTTTGGTATTTGAATTGAGCATGAAGTATTTATTTTAATAAACCAAGATTTTTGATTTAAACTAAACAATAAAGTTGGTTGTAGTTGAAGATACGTTTTGAGTTGTAAATATTGAGAGGTATTAGTTTTAATAGTCATTGTTTCTTCAGAGCGTTTAATATAAATATCATTCTTTAATAAATTAGTGATAGTTAGATAATAATCAATAACTAAATTATCATCATATTTAATCATTGTTAATGGAATATAAGAGTCATTAAATTCTATACACATGTAAGAAGATAATAATGATGAAGTTAAAGAATTTTTTGTTGAAACATAACACTTTCCTGAAATAATTATTTTTTGATCTTTTGAGGCTTCATTTTCACTTCCTTTAATAATCAATTTCTTCTTTTTATCAATTGAATAATATAAAGAAAAAGGTAATTTATGAATAACATAAAAACAATGAAAATACAATTTTATTTGATTCTTATTGAATATGAATTGGAATACATGAGTTTTTTTTTGATCTAATTCTAATAATTTCTTCATTTTCTGCTTTAATTTTAACAGTTACTTCATCAGAAAGAATTGTTTTAAATAAAGTCATATTTAAGTCATTAAATGGAATTGATTTTTGTTGAGAAGGTGGTATTGTTATATGATAATTTGAAAAAGAGATAATAATATCTATTGGTAAATTATTTATAATAAGAATGGATAATAATTTATATATTACTGGACATTTAGATAATTGTTCTGTAACAAAATAAGAATAACAACAGCGTAATGTTGAAAGACTAAAAGTATCAAATGGAGTAATAAAATTATTTGAAATAATAGAACTATACGTTTTTAGTTCAATAGATAAGAAATTCATTTTAATAGTAAATAAAGAGTCATTATAAATAATATTTGATGTTGTAATAGTAATTATTTTTGATGGCTTTGAATTACAGTAACTTATAGCAAAAATATTATTACCAAGACAATGAGGAATTCTTTTATTTAATTGAATGAAAGAACGTTTTCCATTTACTGTAATTTCAAAAGAATTAAGATATCTCATATATTTTTTTTCTTTTGGTAGTACAATAATTTGATTTTGATATAGAAGAATAGAATACAATTTAAATGAAAAAATGCATCAACTAAATATGTCGTTGTGTTTCTTAAATCAAATATTGTATCTTTGTTCATATCAATTTCTTGGTTAATATATTGAACAAATAAGAAGCATTTTTCTAATAAATCTTTCTTAATAACAATTCCAAGTACATTGTCAAGAATCCACATTGAAAGTGCTATTTGTTTTGATATAAATGTATTGTTAATAATATTAGCTCTTTCAAGAATATGTTCAATATAAATTCCATTCCGAATTGAATAATCCAATTTTTGTTGATAGTAAAGTATCAAATAAGATATTTTTGTTGTTCCTCAAATAATACTTTCATTGGTAAATGTTAATTTAATAAAATGAAGACATTGGGATTGATGTAAAATGAATAGCTTAGATGTTGGAATTGAAATTGAAAGATCAACAAGGTATACTTCTCTTTCGGGTTGTTTTAATTCTATGCTTATTAATTCTTTAATTTGAATTAATTGTTTTGTGATACGTTCTAGAAATTGAATATCTTCTAAAGACAAACTAATTGTACCAAATTGAGCAATAATTTTACCATTAACAAGTGAATTTGAGTTACAAGAGAATAACCAATTATTTGCAATAGTAAATGATTGTAATCTATTAAATGAATAATTATGTGTTTCTCCTGAATATAAAATAAGTGGCACATTACAAATTAAATTTGAAGAAATAATACAATTTATTGATGAATCAAAACTAATAAATGATATTGATTCTGTTTGATTATTAATAATAGTAAGAGTAATATGAATTTGTATTAACATGGGAAGTATACAAAACTTTTGTTGAAGAGGTTCTGAAAATAGAGGTATATTTATTGTTTTTAGAGAGTCTCTAATATCAATGTAATGAAAAGAATAACTTTTAGAATCATTAAAAATATAATTAAAACAAGAAAGTATTCTTTCTTTCATTAGATAATCAATAATAAAGATGCATTGAGTTTTATTAAATTTCCAATAATTATATAAGTTATTTAGAATTATTGAGCTTGGTATTTCATTTGATTCAATTATTACTCCTTGTTGAATATTTTTAATAGTATAATTAATGGGTGACATATTTGTTTTATTTTTTAAGTCTTTTGTTAATGATTGAAATAAATTAATATCATTTTTAAGTACAACTGATATTATTTATGTTATATGAACCTCAACTTCAGTTTTTGTTTGTGCTTCATTTGGTATAATCATTGGTGTAGTATTAATAATTGAAGAATGTTTAGTTAATTTAAATTTTTCATAAACAGAATTAACTTCTTTTTGAGTAATTGAATCAAGTACGGTTGATATTACTTCAATCATTTTGATAATACATTGAGGAAAAATAATAACATTAAGTTTATTAAAAATTATTTCTAAATATTCTTCATTGGCAACGAAAAAAAGCAAATAATTGAAAAAGAAGAGAATGAATGATATAAAAGAATAAAAAGAAAGTAAAAAGTTTGATATGATGAAGAAAGAATAAAAGTAGAAAGGAGAGAAGATAAAAATAAAGAAGATAAAGTGTAATAAAACATAAGAGATGATAAAAGAAGAAAAGAAAGAAAAAAAAATAAAGGATACAAATTTTATTGAAACAAATAAAAAAGCGCAAAATTTAATGATGCAAAATATTTAGCAACATATTTTATTGATGCAAAATATTTTGAAATAAAAATAAATCATCATTTGATATTATTATTATATTTGATAATAATTTATATTATATAT